CGGACCATCATGCTGCAGGGCTCGGCCACGCTACTACAGAGGGAGTGACAGGAGGGAGCGCTGAGCGCTTCCCTCCTGTCAGCCCCTCTCCTCAGGCTACGGCCGGGCGGTGCGGTCCGCCCTCATGGACGCACCGCCTGGGCAAAGCTGCAGCCGCCTGAGGCTCTCTACAGAGCGCTCGGGCGGCTGCAGCATGGGGGGGGGGCGGCGGGGCTAGTCATGGCACCCTCCACCCTGGTGGCACCCGGGGTGGACCGCCCCCTCCGCCCCCCCCTTAGTACGCCACTGCACTAGTTTAATACTATCCTTACCTTTTTGTGTCATTTTACCCCACTCCCTCTAGCATGTAAGCTCATTGAGCAGGGCCCTCAACCCCTCTGTTCCTGTGTGTCCAACTTGTCTGGTTACAACTACATGTCTGTTTGACGGCGCTCTATAAATATCATAATAATAATAATAATATCACAGGATGACAAGCAGAGTGAGAACTGGTTTAAGATGCTATCTTCTTATCTCACCCTGTTTGATTCAAACACTTGGAGCCGGTAAGCAAATAGTTTGCAGAAAATTTACTTTTATTTGCTTGTTCTGATTTTTATTGTTTTCGCTTTAAGTGTTTGTTATTTGCTAAATATATTTATGGAAAAATGAACATTAAAGTAATGTGAGCTAGGTTTATTAATGCTATTGTATCTTAAAACTACACACTTTGATATTTTAGGAAGGATTCTGTGTTTTTTTTTAGTAAATTTAACTCTTTGAATACAAGGGCTCTTTTTTAGATTACAAGTGCATGTGGGCACTGGCCTTCTTCACCTACTGTACCCGTAGGTCAAATGTGTTTGTTAGAATTCATTGTTTGTCTTCTTTTAGCCACTGTACAGTGCTGCAGAATAGATTGGCACTATATAAATAATTGCAATTGTAATTAAAGACAAGAACTTATTTTTGCTACTTGTTTATTGAGGTGTATGCAAATGTACGCATGTTCTATACTGTTTAGAACAGGGTCTTAAAGTCAATGCAACTAGGGTCCACCAGCCAAGTCAACTTCTCGCATGGGGGGCTGCATATCCATATTGTCAGACACAAAAAGTGGCACACTCCCATGCAAACAAAACTCTCATACACACACATACACACTTTCATGTACATATACAAACACATACACAGCTACACACATGACTACAGACTTCCTTACACACAGCTGCACAAACAGAAAGATGTGTTTATACATTCCCCTCAATCCCAGCCTGGAAGTTGGACTTACTTCTATTTCAAATTTGACTCGGTCAAACTGCGAAGTGTGACGTATTTAGAGCTCTCTATTTTAATGAATCGATATAGGGCTTTCTCTTTTTTTTTTCAATCTTCAATTTTTATGTTTTGTCCTTAGATCGAAACAAGAGAGTACAGAAAGGAAAAGGGGGTGGGAAACAAGCAAATTTCACTTTTAAAAAGCACATGGTGCACAGCATTACATGGCTTTACACTGTTCATATTCATACGTAACTTTTACATAGAGATGCTATACAGTTCGCTGGTTAATGTGACATCCTTAAGTGCATGGCATAGTGTGTTCCCATCATGTCAATCAAACAATAAACAAAACAACTTAAATACATAAGAATTAAAAAGGTAAGGGAGTAAAAAAAAAGTGGGTGAGGGAGTACCTGTGTCGTTTGTGTACTGATAAGTTTGCATTACTGCATTAGAGGTATGTAAGTGTAGGCAGGGGTGGTCAGTACGTCCCACAATGCTAGGAAGTCATGCCATTATTGTCCTTGCGCTTCCCTACACACTGGTCCCACCCTTGCCATATGAGAGACACCTTGTGTTTCATCCCTACTATCTTAGAATGTGCCATTTTATATTTTTTAATTTCTATCTACAGTGGAGATTATATCCTGCACCTTCGGTGGGGTCACCCACTTCTATTGTCTTGCTATGAGGAAAGCCAAAAGTACATGTATGATCACCACTTTGTTGTCCCAGTGTAACCGGGCTGGCATTTGCAATAGTATGAGTTATAGAGGTTGTTTCGGTATGTCCATCCTCGCAATCTCGCTTACTAGAGAGTGAACCTCCATCCACATGTGTGTGAGAGCTGGACATAACCACCACATGTGGACCTTCGTGCCCCTCTGCTTACCACATCTCCAGCACTTCGGGAGCTATCTGGGAATATGAGTGCTAATCTGGCTGGGACCATGTACCACCAGAGTACTATTTTTCTGTGCAGTTCCCTGTGTGATGCACAGTGTGTTACCCCTTTTAGTGCCTGTAGGATATTGGCCCATTGAGAGTCTGAGATGTTCTCTCCACAATCATGAGCCCAGTCCGTGGCATTTTGGCATTGCCCGAAAGGTTGGTGTTTGTTTAGTGCCTGGAAGCACACTGAGAGTTGTCCCCTAACGGGTGTTGCACCCACACACATACTCTCGAATTAAGACATGGTGCTCTCTGGCCCCCTCAGGTTAGTATTTGTCATGTACGTGTCTAAATAGTGCTTTATTTGCATAGTGTAGTGTGTTTTGGATGTTGTATTTTGAGGATAGTTGTTGAAACAATAGGCTTGTGTCCTTCTTGTAAAAGCAGTTTAAGAAGTGGATTCCCGCCTGTTGCCATTTGGCTATGTTAAAGTTTGGTATAATGTAGGGAGGACGGACAATGGGGTGGCTCCAGATAGTTTTCCTGACCCAAGTAAGTGTGGTTTGTACTTGTCCTATGTCCTCAGTAGGGTCTGTGTGGTCGGCAGCATGTAGGAGGTTTTGGGTCTCCGCCCTCTAGGGATCCAACACAGTTGCCAGAGGAATACCCTCAATTGAAACCCACTGTGGGTGGTGTTGAGTTGCAGTTGTCTGCATCAAAGGTCCGCCCTGTGGTATAGGAGGAGATCAGGGACACCAGTGCCTCCCTCATCACAGTGTCCAAATAGGTGTTTTAATGATACTTTGGGCTTTTTTCCTGCCCATTCAAACTTTGTTAAATCCTTCTGTGCCCTTTTAAAGAAAGACAAGGGTGCTAGTATTGGTAGTAGGCGGAAAATATAGTGTGGTTTAGACAATAACATAATTTAAAGGCAGTTGCTCTGCCTACCCATAAGATATATTTATCTCTCCAGTCCCACATTTGAAGTTCTCTCTCTTTCCAGACCCTGACATAATTATCAATAAAGAGGTCCCGAGGGTTTTGCGACAGCAAGAGGCCTGACTTTATGTGCTTGTCTGACCAATCAAATTTATACTGCAACCAAGGAAGTTGGGTGGCCACTCGTGTAAGGTTAATTCCCATAGCTTGGGATTTTGATTTGTTTAATTTGTAATAAGACACAGCCCTGTAGTCCATCAGGATTTTGTGGACCGCCAGTACAGACAGTAGTGGCTGGGTTAGAGTGATCAGGATGTTGTCTGCAAACAGACTGAGCTTGTGTTCTTTCTCCCCTATTTTGATACCATGGATATTGGGAGAGGATCGTATCATAGCTGCCATAGGTTCTAAAGCTAATATATACAAAAGCGGCAATAGGGGGCACCCCTGCATCGTCCCGTTAGTTAGCATGAATCTAGCAGAGTTGAAGCCACCGTTGGATACCACCGCCGTTGGTCTATTATAAAGGCCCATGACCTGAGATACAAAATGCTGCGGAATGCCAAACTCTCCAAGTGCCAAGACCAAGAACCCCCAGCCGAACCGGTTGAATGCTTTTTCTGCATCCAGAGAGAGCAGGAGGCCCTCGGTCCTGGCCTCTCTCATGTGACAGAACAAGTCCACAACTCTGCATGAATTATCTGCCCCCTGGCGTCTAGTCACAAACCCCACTTGGTCCCCGTCTATCAGGGTTGGTAAGACAAACGATAGTCTAGTTGCTAGCAATTTGGCATATATTTTGGTGTCTACATTGAGCAGCAATATGGGCCAGTAGTTTTTGCATTCGTTAGGTTTCCCTGGCTTAGACAAGTTAATAACATTAGCTAGTAGCATATCTGGTGGTAAGCCTTTGTCGTGGTTGGTGGAGTTAAACAGCTTCGTAAGGTATGGCTCTAGAAGACTGAAAGACCTGGTAATATTTGCTTGTGAAGCTGTCCAGCCCCGGGGCTTTGTGGGGCGGAAGTCCCGAAATCATCTTAAGTATCTCTGCAGCCGATATACTTGCTGTCAGTGATGCCGCTATGTCATTGGTAATTTGGGGAGGGATACCCGTGTCAGGAATTCTT